GCTGTTGCATTGGAGCAGCAGCATGCTGTGCCGCAAGGTGGATCAGAAGCCCTTATGCCGGCGAAGGAATGTCAGCGACTGTTCACAGTCGTCACCATCGTTTAGGGGAAAATGTCAGAGGCAAAACTTTTCCTGCGATTATTTTAAGGGTGAGATCTATGCGTAGGACTCGTTAAATTTACCATAAAAGTTTTAAGGTGATGAATTAAAGTCATGGTAATATAAATATGATATAAACATCGGGATCAAATATATATCAGGATCAAAGCCTTGCCTTTACATCAAACGGGTTCTTTAAGACCCAAAATTCTGCTTATTTTAAGTAAGTAGAACTGATTCAGTTTCTTTTTCTTTTCCTTGTCAGCCACCTTCACTTCTCTGCATCATTACACATTTTCTTTTATTTCTATTTTAGTATTCTTCTCCTGACTGTGTCTGCATGAAATAAGAGTTAATCTTGTGTCCACTGGGAACGCACACATTTACAATGGGAAGCAGCCTCGTAACAGATGTCCTTGATTTTTTACTTGAGATGAAGGCAAGTAAAATATTTCGAAGCTGATTTCGCCAGCAGCTTTTCCTTTTGTGTGCATCTTGAAAATGCAACTTTGTTCAAATACATTTTCCAAGCTGAGTAAGCCGATTAGGTAGCAGGAAATGCCGTCTTATAAGCCAGATATGCCAATAGAAGGGTCAATATGTATTAGAACAATTTGGCTTTTCAAGATTTGTGGAATACATTGTCCTTTTGAGAAAAGAGTCTATGGCTTTTGAATGTGCATTTAGGGATAAAGTTAGGATAAACAAAGGTGGCTTTTGCTCGTGTTGCACTTTTCTTTATAATCTTAACAAAAATAGGTAACTAACTTTTTAATTATAATCACCAATAATTCATATTAACTTTAATGTTTTAGTTTTTAAAATTAACTCTGAAAATCAAAGTTCGTTACCTTAACAGAATTCACTGCATTGCCTTAGCCACAAGAAGTTGTGAATGATAATGTGAATGCGTCGCCGTCTTGTCAAATTGTGTCAATGTTCTGGGAACAAAGACTTCCACTTCCACGTCGGGCCGCAAACCGACAGGAAAAGGCTGCCTTGACATTTATTGGCCAATCCCCGGCCCCTTAGACTGCTGCCGTGTGTTCCACATTCCGGCAAATGCAGCAGCCAACACTGTTTGACAAGTTGACTTCATCAACTGTGCGCTGACAGCGTAAATATTTTACCAGTCCCGAACTAACGCCACTTATCTGCCCTCCAGTGTTGGCATTGAATAGATTTGACACAAATCAAATGTGATATTTTTAAATTTAATTCCCCACAGCGAACGTTATGGTTTGCTCCTATGACACTAGTTGGGAAAATGGGATGAGAAGCCCATACAGCGCAGACATTGTTACGGGTTATCTTGGATAGATGTGAATAAGTTTGGATAGCATAAGCCTTCCTAGGTCAACTTTTATGATAGCAAAGATAGTTAGTCTTTTGAATGGTCAAAATATTAAGTACACAAGCACGTCTTGCTAAAAATATACATACAAGGTTTGACAAGTAAGAAACAACTCTTAAATAAATAAAAAATGTATGAATATTACTCACAAAACAAAAATGAATGGAGGCTATTCCCAATTGGTGGGTTTTATACAAATTAAGACTCGAGCTACCATGACACAAGCCTTGCCCAACATACAAACTCAACTTAATTGCAGCGTAACCGCCTTTTGGGTTTCAGGGGCTGGGTCGGCCATGGGCCAAGTAAATGTCTCAATAAACTTCCGGCAAAGTATTTCCCACAGAGGCCACCGGCTTCGGGGGCACGACTTAACCTCAATTTTGATTAACAATGTCTGGCAATGAAGCTGTCAACGTGCGGCCAGGAACCGCAACCAGAGCCCGAAGGGAGGTGGTTGTAGCCAACCGGCAGACACACTCAATTTCTTGGGTGTCTGGGCAGGACGCCTCTTTGGAGGGGTTGCTGACAATTGCGAGCCTGAAAAATGAGCACAATTTGTTTGTTGACTCGGTGGCAGCTGGGTATGCCAACTATCAACCCGGCAGCCACTTAGTCGGACCTTTTGCCGTCAATGATTCCCTGCAAATACATATTTTATTGGGTCGCATTATTCACTTGCTAATAACATGCTTATGGGCGAACGTTAGGCGTTGCCAATTTTGAAAGTTGGCCTTCTGCCGGCGCGCCTGCTCCGCCTTCTGCTGCATTACGTAGTTTTCCATCAGCTGACTGGGCGTATTTTGGCGGAAGCTCAGCGTTTGTGTGGGCGTGGTTGTGGCCATGTTCTGCCAGCGACGGCGCAGACCGTCAATGCCAAAGGCCGGCACCTCAATGCACAGAAAGTAGGCCAACTCCATGCCGCTAATAAGGGAACAGCCAAGAAAAAGTCCAGCGATGCCACCGAAGCTAACTGTGGAAACATCAACAAGAAGTGGTTGCCTTCAGATTTAATCTAATCAATCTATATTAAGTAAGGTTTTGTTTATGAGTTTGTCGGAAATTGTTTAAGTTACCATGCCAGGTAAACTAAATAGACAAGTAATTAGATAATTAGTACAATTGAGATGAAATGGTTAGCTAAGCATACATTGTTTAACTGATAAACTGATGAAATCAATTTATTTATTAAGTAGTGATGAAATTGGTATACTGACCCATCAAGTCTACCCAGCCAAAGACGAGACTCGTTCGGTAGACCATAATGGTCTCGAAGCGGAAATGCACGTCCAAATCGACATATGAGGAGTTGCCATAAACGTCCGGCGGCAGAAAAGCTGGACGGACATCATTGATGTAGTTCAAAGAGTAGCAGTTCCGAAAGCATTTGCAGACCATCCCCTCGAAATTATTCCGGACAAAGCCCTTCTCGCCCGGCTGGTGGGAGTACGAGAGCAGGTCTGCGGATGAAGGTTATGAGCCACGGGGATGGGGGCTTTGGCCACTTCCCACTTACCATTGTGCTCCGCCAGGCAGAGCAAATCCTGCGACCGGCATGACCGATATTGGCCTTTGCAGAAGGATTAGAGGTTGGGGTGAGTTCGAAAGGCAGTGCTGCGGTTGGGCGAAACGTGCTTACCCGGTGGAAAAAGCAAGTCCATTGTGCAATTGCAGTAGCGCACTAAGTACTCCTGATGGCACTCCGATTGGCAATTCTCAATCATGTAAACGTAGCCCTGCAGGGACTTGAAGTCGTCGCTGTTGTGCTCATCCTAGGATTCAGTCAGTATGAAAATATGTGCAAATTACGGGATTCATTTGATTGAGTTAAAGGTTGGAGTAAGAAGCAACTGGAAGGAGTAGGGAAGCTCCTTTTTTGGAGCCTAAAGTGATCTTAAAGAGCGAATTCTAGTTGCTTCGTTTACGCTCGCCATTCACTCACATCGAACACACACTGCCGCTGGTCGGAGCGAACACCTCGCGTGTCATTGTCGTAAAAGTAGATGATGGGCTCTATCTCCAACGCCGTCTCCGTATTGGCGGGCACGTAGAACGGATTGTTGTGCCACACGAACGGCTCGGTGACCATGACATCGATGCCCTTCTCATTGTGCCTGCCCGGCCAGTGCTTGCTGGCTTGGATCAGGACCCGCACAGAAAGGCCGCTCATGGGACCCGCCGATCCTGTGCGCCAGGGCCACATGGGATCCAGCAGCTGCATACGCCGGCCCTCGTCAGTCTCCACGGTGTTGAAGGCCAGGCACAGCCCGTTCTTGCTGCGTCTCTTCGAGAAGATGTCGCAGCAATTGTATTGGAAGTGTCGCCACATGCAGTCCGTGAGCATTTCGTCGCAGCGCCATGTCATAAAGTCCACCACCTGGCTGAAGTTGATGTGGCCGAGTAGCTCAGTCGGCTGGCCGCGCAGCCTCTCGAAGGACTGAAAGTGGCCGAAGTAGGCATCGTCGTAACTGCCCAAGATGCGCTCAAACAGCGCCAGCAGGGCAGTGTCGCTGACATTCGCCATGAATCTGGACTTGGCCTGGGCCAGGCGCTGCCAGTTGAGCCGGTTCCGGTTGCAGATCGTAATCACCGGGAAGGGTATGCGGTACACCGGGTAGCGCGTGCTGTCCACCACCGTCTGGAAGTGACCGTCGTTGTAGCGGGCCGAGAGTATCAGGCACACATATACCGCTCCCAGAAATGCACTGATGAAGGTGCACAGCCAGACAAAGCGCTCCCACCGACTCGCCTTGGCGCTGAGGAGCCTGTCCAGGCCGTGTATGGTTGTCCGTCTACCGAACCGCAGGGCCAGCTGCCAGGCGGACTGGGCCAGCTTATGGGCATAGCGACGCGGCAGCGATGGCGGTGCCTGGCTTGCTGATGAAAAGTAGACTAACGTCATGACGGTTCCGGACTAAGTCTGGTCGCTGGACTCTCAGGACTTTTATACTTACTCTCCAATATGCGTGCCAGAATGCAGCCGGTAATTAGGTCCCGATTAACGCCTTGTCATGTCCCAGAACTGCCTGGATCTGACGTGCTTGGCGCCCATAAGCCATAAGGCTATGGGCTGTCAGCCCAAAGGTCACGCCAATCGACCCAGTATTCTCTGGAGATTTGACCCGATTTGCATCCCCCAACAGCCAGCTAAATGTGTCAAACTAATTGGCACCGAAATAAGTTCAATTGAATGCTATCTATCGCAAATGATTTGCAAACACTGATTAGAAATTACCTCCAATCAGGTCACTGAAGGGGTTTTGTCACTATGAGAACTACGAATACACTAACCTGTCGTTGCTAAGGCGGAATATTCCTTGTAATTTTATATATCGTTGCTATAGATATTCATGATCAGGCTCTCTAAACTCCTATACAAATCCGTACATATTTTAAATTTAAGATATGTATTATAATGTGTATAAACCGGAAACTCTTGAAAACGTTTTATGTATTAACCATACCCTTATATTACCCTAAAACCAAATAGATCTATGCTTGGTTTGCTATAAAAGCCTTGACCCTCTTGTGAAGCTCAAACTACACTATGTTTATTCGACCCGTTGCTAAAGTCAAGAGGGTACTGCCTGCTGATGCCTGGTGGAAGAGGTATCCCTCAAAAGAACTTAAAATGGAGAAAAAAACAGCCTGGATGGATCTTCTCGAGGGCTACATCACCAGATCCCATATTCATGGGCTATATTTGCTCTTTCTGCCTACAATGCGCAGACGAATGAGGTAAGAAAAGCAAGTAACATAGGAACTCCGAGTGATATCACCGGCAGTTTACCCTTGCCAGGTTCCTGTGGTCCCTCGCCCTGATCTCTGCTTGCTCGGTACTCGTCTACGTGAGCTATCTGCTGGGCGAGCGGTACCACAGCAAGCAGTTCAAGACCATTGTGGCCCATTCGCACGCCTCCATACATCACATCGCCTTTCCGGTGGTCATCATCTGCAACAGAAACCGACTGAACTGGTCTCGGCTACCGGAGGTCAAGCTGCAATACAACATTACGCCGACCCAAGAGGTTCTTTTCGAGCGCATTCTCACTGCCTACGACGGCTTGAGCTTCCATCAGTTCAACGTTTTCGATTCCCTGCAGGGTGAGTACTTGGACGACCTGAATCACCTTAACTTTACCCAGATTGTTACGGAGTTGTCCTGGAGGTGTGACGAAATTCTAGCGGATTGCCACTGGCAAACAGCGCCCCGGGACTGCTGTAAGATCTTCAGACCCCGCCGGCTGCCTTTGGGATTATGCCTGGCCTTCAATGAGCTGGAGCAGCGAAGGGGAACGGATACTGGCATAAACACGGGGCTGCTTCTCCGGCTACAGCTTCAAGAAGACAGCCATGCTCCGGGCAACAGGGGTCAAAAAGGATTTCTGGTGAGTAGTAAGGCTCCTTGAAATCTGGGCTCCAAATTTCAATTCCAATTCCTCAGCTGAACGTGGTGGAGGCCGACGTGTGGTTCGGCTTCGATATTGAAGTTGTACCCCACTACCGGACCAATGTGGCCGTCACAGCAGTGTACCATTACTTCGACGACAGTACCTTGAGTCTGTCCTCGCGGTGGCGGCGTTGCGTGAAGGACTACGAGCAGGACAGCGAGCACTTTCAGACCCTGGAGGGGCAGAAGTACATGCTGGAGAACTGCATGGCCGAGTGCCAGCAGCGATATCTGCTGCGCTACTGCAACTGCACTTTGGATCTGTTCTATCCGCCCTCCGAGTACGCCGCCTGCAGGCTAAAAGACCTGCCTTGCCTGTCCTCCCACAATCACCTCCTGCAGAACTTCGAGCAGGTGGGAGAGCACCCGTACGTCCACCGAGAGGAAGCGGGTCTGCTGTGCGAATGTCTGCACAACTGCAAATCCCTGACCTTGGTGACTGACATGCGCAAGAGCGTCCAGCAGCCCTGGCTGCAGGCCAACTCGAGCCGCCTCAGGAACACGTGGCTCAATGTGTACTTCAAGAAACCATCGATGCTGGTCTACAAGACAAACTTGATCTACACCTGGGTGGATTTGATCGGTATGTTGCGTGGTTTTGTATATTTTATTATATTATTTTGATTACTTCCTACAGTTTCCTTTGGCGGAATTTGTCAGCTTTGCTTAGGCTGCTCAATTATCAGTCTTATAGAGTTTATGTTCTTTGCACTCTTCAAAGTCCCACAATTCTACTGGAAACGAGCAAGAGGTGGACTTAATAAATAAATTAATAGAACTAATTAAATATAAGACCACTTTAAAATTTAATTCACTTTTACATAGGAATTTATTTATTAACTGTTCTAGCTTTTTTTTCAAATAACAAAGCTTTTACTGGTGAGGACAACCCTCATTCTCGAGTTAGCTAAGATTATTGCTACAGGTTGAATGTTATTTTCAAGCTCTTCAGGCTTCGAAGTAATATTTACATTTACGTACAAATGTAAGCTCTGAAATTATTTACGCACAACAACTAATATTTATACATTTTACCCTTAACTATGTTTTAAATTGTGTCACATTGCTTTAAGACCGTAAATTACGTTTATAAAAAGCGTAAGTATAAAAGGCTTTAGCGAGTTTTTTCTTTAAACAATGAAACCTAAATAGTTCTATACTAATTATACCGTCATATGAATCTTAATAAATAACCAAAATAGTCTGGAAAAAAATGAAAAGAAAATGTTTCTAAGAGAAGAACAAAATGGTCTTGAGATAATATTATAGCAAAAAGTTTTAATTTTTAAACAAAGTGTTATTAAAATAATGTAAATAATTCTAAAAGTTCATATTAAGCACGTTTTTTCCCTGAGTGTAGCTATGGTTTCCTAGAGAGACTTTATGCGCATGCTCTTGGGCACTTACATATCTTTTAGAAAGAAAAAGATAAGGAAAGTCGAGGGTAAACATAGAACATAGACTAAAATACTATGAATAAGGGAGAACAAGGCGCCAAATTGTACTTATATATAAGACTTGAAAAACATAGGATATAGACACAGAACATAGAAGCAAAGGACGTAGACAAAAATGAACTACTTTACTTAAGTTTACTAAAGACTTCATAGCAACTAAAACATAGAAATCATAGAACATGGAACATGGACACAACAAGTAGATTGCTAACATAGAACATAGAACATTCGATAGAAATGGAAGATACATGCAGTAGTGGTAGAATGAGCTCAACGAAAAAAGTATCTTCGAGATACATAATTCTAAAGTAGGGTAGAAAAACATACATTTGCATATGTTATTATTATTTATGTTTTAAAAAATCTTTAATTAATATTTTAAATACTGGTGCTTGACATATTTTTATAAGATATACAACATAGAGTGCGTTTAATAATTTAAAATTGTGAAGGGAAGTTTATAGTAGGTTGGCATGAAAAATCGATGTTTCGCTGCTGCTGTCCACTTGGTGCGCTTTCGTTGCCGTCGAACCTTGTATTCAATTTTCGAATACAAACCATTCAATCTACTTCTTCATTGAACAGAGGCATTTGGGTCGAACCATCATTTGCATCACTTTATACGAATAGTCCTCCTCTCGCCAAGAGTGCCAAACCATCCCTTTCCACTTTAAAATTTCACCTTCGTCTCCGTGGAGATACAGGCCGAAAAGATTACTGAAAGAAAGCAATTTCTTTAGAGTGTAATATAAATCATTTAGTTATTAGTATTACTACCTATTGGTGCAATTGATGTACCACCAAGGACCCATGTACTCTGCGGCACAGTTCTTATCCCACGCATCGTTGTCTCTATCGTAGGTGGAGAAGTTTTGGTTCTTGTTCTGGACCAGGGAGTCGCCGGCATCTCCAGTAAATCTGCCCAACTTTGTCATTGCATAAAATTGGTTTTCGCTTTCAATGAAAAAGTCATCGTAATGCGCATAGCGCGTCTGTCCCTCAAAGTCCTCCAGGTGTATGTACAGGTCGTGGGGCTGCGACTTGGTTATGGCGTGCAGTTTATCTAATCCAATGAAGAAGTCTTTTGTGAGATCGCCAAATCCATTCTTGTATTCCTCCCAATTGAGAAAGAAATTCAATTTATTGCTGGTGCGACGGGCAATCACAGCCCAGCCAGGACCGGCAATTTTGGCATCGCACGACACCTGAAAAGGATCCAGTCCCGACACTTGAACTGTGTAAATGCCGTGGGATGTGGACTGAGTGGGACATTGCGAAGGATATGACTGGGAAAGCCCTGTTGCATTCAATTCGATAATCTGCTGGACGATATGGGAGATACTCTGACTACTGGGATTGTCGTTGATTTTGGACAAAGCTTCTTTGTATATCGCATCTAGTTCCAGTTTCTGCCTGGTATTATAACTCGTATTAGCTTGTGTTTACAACGAATATATTCTTACCTGTTCACTTCCTCTTGGCTTGAGGTAGGACTTGTTGAAATCTATGGGTATTTAAGTAATATATTCTCTTTTTTTTAATGTCTAAAGGTTTTGTATCTTACCAAACCGTTGCCATCTGACTGCGTGGTGAAATCTATAAGGCAAAAAATGACCAGGTAAAACCACACTAAACGCATGGTAACGCTTTGAGAACTGATAGTAAACTACCACTATTACGAAGCTTTTATGGATAATATGGACACTAGTCAGCATGAAAAACATTGCGAATATTAAAGATCTTGAATTTCAGAGTTTTACATATTAATTTAATATACTATACTTATATCTCAAGTTTTAGTTTGACTTATATTGGCATTTGTAGAGTTATTTATGCCTTAAAGAAATCATGTTTTTTTTGAATAGTGTGCCAATTCTAATAAGTTTTACTGCTATCTACTTTATTAATAGGCTTATCAAGTCTGTACTTAGGCAAATAATATATGATTCAGATAAAACCAATTACGTTTAAGGGTTTATGTAATCGAATCTTGAAATAAGTACTATATTTAAGAGTTTAATAATTACGAACAGTGATTATTTAATTAATGAGTCTTGTAAGAGATGTAAATACAACCTTTTTATTTTCAATGGAATACTTTTTGTAAGAATGTAACTAAAAACAAAATCTTAATCGCCAAATTCCAGATATATGGTTTCGGGCCTCCTTTAAACTGAAGAAGAGTTGCACTGCGGCATCCAAAATATATATCTTCGTTGCCGCTGTGCTCCTAGTGAGGTTTTAACGGTTTATTGACTGGCCGCGAGCGGTGTCTTAACTGCTGCAATGTCGCGTTCCCCGTTTAACAAGCGTCCTCCGGATGTGGGCCGCGGTCCGGACTCCGGACTCCGGAGCTCCATACAGATGGTCCTGGCCCCAGCAGAGGCGGGTGGGTTGTCTTGTCGAAATTACTCTCATAAACGTGACTTGACATAATAATCTGGCTGGCGCGCTCCGACTTTGCCCGCTAGCTTTGTATTTTTCACTCTGCCTCCTGATTTCGAGCCCGCTGCCATCTTTGTCTAATATTTCTTTCGCTTCTCCTTGCCCTTCCTGATGCCTGGCTTCCAAGGTGGCGTTAATTTTTTTGGGTTCTTCTTTTAATTTTTTTTTTACTTTTTTTTTTTGCGGTCAAGTTTTATGTTTTTTCGCTTTGGGTTGGATGCCGCCTGGCGAATATGGCAAAAATTTCATTAGTTTTACAAACAAGCAAGCAAACAGACCAAGAAACAAATATTTGTGCTTGAATTTTTGAACAGTTTAGTGGCAGTTGTTGTTGCTGCCATTGTTGCGAGTGTTGCGAGTTTTTATCTTGAACGAGAAAAACAAAAAAAAGAAAGCAACTGCTTCCACAATCTAGGGTTATGGTCAGGTTCAGGTGAAGGTACACCGGACTCGAGGGATATCGAGTAAAAAGAAAACGTATCAAAGAAATAGCACAGCTGGGATTCATTTTAAAGCAAACAGAAGGCTCTTTCTTGATTTGCTGGCTCATATTAATATGTCTTGAATCTCTAACTAAGATTAAAGCAACTAAAATTAGCAGCCAAGGTGCTTATAAACTAGAACTTTTAAGTAAGTTATATTTTTTTTAATTAACTAAACTAGTCTTGATAAAAGGTTCGAGTATTTTGCAGAGTAAAAATGCTTTAAATTTGATTTAAGAAATTAATTTTTTAAGCGGTCTTGGATTTTTTACGCCCACGTGCCTTGGGCTAATAAAATCTAAACAGAGATCTGCGACAACCCGTTTCTATATATTTAGGTGGGCACTGTTGTCCTTTCGTTCAACACAGGCCTCACAGGCCAAGGACAACAATGTGGAGAGTTGCGTGGTCAGGACATGTCTTTGGCAGGCTTTACTTTTTTCCGGCATTTTTTATTATACGCTGACAGGGTATTTTAATATAACTAATTTGGTTGTAAAGGAGTCATATATACAGCACATACCTTCTTGATTAGCATCAACAGCCGAGTTGATCTAGCCATGTCCAAAAATAAGATACCAGCGTGCAGATTTATTAACCTGCTTTCTATATTTATTTGTCCAAAAAATTATTTAATAAAATATCCATAAATATTTTCAAAGAATCTGAATATATTTAGGTCTTCTGGAAGGTGTAATATGCTCCAAAAACCAGTGATTATAATATTAACAGCAATTTAAGGCATTTATCCAACATCTGTTGTATATATTCACAGGACGATAGCATATAAATATAGGGTATACGGTGTTCGGTTGTAATATCCACCACTGACTGCCCAACAGCGGCATACACCTTGTCTCATAAATTATTGCGAAGAGGTTACTTTGTAATCAGCAAATTAACTTTATCGCCGACAGCGCTTCGGATATGAAAGTGTGTGTGTGTGTGCTTGGCTGTTCAGAGCACACTAATGGACACAGTGGTGGGGTTCAGATTTTGACCTCCTGATGGAGTGACCGACCTGTGACTACTAGGTGACGAAGCTCACTCCAGGGTGGGCTACCATAAAAAAAGAAGAGGAAAAGAACGTTTTTATATATATGCACCAATCAGTCATTAAATCAGGCAACATGCCTGCCTGTAGATAATCGAATTTTTAATGTTTGCTCTGTGTGTGGGGTCGCATAACTCATAAGTTTCCCTCCCGCAGTGAAATTTGCGGTGTGTCGCGGCTGTGTAGGCACTGGTTACAAATGCAGCCAAGATATATGGCGGCAGGGGGCAGCACATCAGAGCGTGGCAACCGCCCCATGCGGTAATTTACCTAATTTTCAATGTCAACTCCCTTCCGCGCCCATTTGGGGCTCTGATTGGATTCCGGCGTATTGAGTCCTAATCTCCCGCCCTCTCCCCGTTTCCCAATCGCGAGTTAATCGAATCTGCCCTTTATTGACGCATTTTCGTATCTGAGCAGCCTGCCACCCAATTTCGTTGTTTGCATTTAATTTTTTCCCCGCCTCGGTGTTCATTTTGATGCCCTTTCACAGAGTTCTGCAGTTTTTTGTGGGTAGTCACTGAAGTCCACCTGATTTTAAGAGACTAACTCGCAGAGTTTTATAGCTGTCAACTTGAAACTTATTCAAGCTCCTTTTCTTGTATTTTTACAACTAAAGTTTAAAAGGGTTTTGACAAAGAAGACTCTATTATTTTCTATCTTAAGGATGATCACAGCTTACTGTATATTTTATAATTATTTAAACATTTCATACATATTTCCCAGATTAATTTAATGCCTCTCGATTTTAGGTATTCCGTAAGGGTATAGAAGCCTTGGCTTCCTGACCTCGTTCTTGTTATCTCTTTGTATTTGCTAATTCCTGGCCATAATGCAAAAAGTTGTTGCCGCTAAGCTTATTTTATATTCAAGCCACAAGTTAAATGCTGTTAATAAACACTTTGTCAGCGTTTACAGTTTGTTTGAGCAACATAAAGGTTGCCGGCAAGCGGTGGTAAGGTGCTTTTCATTAAAGTTTTATCGAGCCCACTAGATGGACACTTTAGGCTATTCATTTTCAGATGAGTTATTGATAAGCAGAGGTGATATATCGAAAGGCGAACGGCTGTCAAAGTGTCGCAGCAACAGATTTTAATTTGGGACGGGCCCAAATGTAGGCATACGACGAGTTTAGTCACCTGCCAGACCCAAATCCAGTGGAGTCAGACTGCCAATGTGTTGCCGGGACCATTTAATAAGGCACGGATTATCGCCAGGCATTATTTCAATCACATACCAAGTGTCGAGTATTTAGCAGACAAGGAGCACGCGCCTCCGCTTCCTGCCTCTGCCACTGCCACTGCTCCTGGCCATTCCAGGCTATATTCCCCACGATCCCCTCCAGCTTCTGTCAGGCCGGGCCGTCAGCTGACTTCTTCGGCCGAGGGGCTGAGCTTCCTAAAAAAGCCAATAAAAATACTTTGTTTGACAAATAAAAGCCGCAGTGAGGGGAGCTTTGCCGATAAAACGGTGCAAGATAGCCGGGGCGGCCGCAGGGGTTCGCTCCCGAGGAACGGCTCTCTGTCCGTGTAACTGACAGGTCGCACATATGTGCCTGTGGACGGGGATGGGCGAGATGGGGTGTTTGTGCAGAGTCTTCACATCGTTTGACTTTACGAGCCAGTCCAAGTGCCCTGCGACCGTTGGGTGTCTGGTAATGCCCAGCTTCCGGTCGGGCATGCTCGAATGGCATTCATAGTAGAGAATTTAGGGTTAACATCTTTAAATTTCAAATATATTGTTATATTGTTATATTAGTGTCCAATCATTACATTATTTTTTCCCCGATGTCAAAGAGATCTCTTCGATATTAGCCACTGCCTGGTTAGGGTGTTATCCTGGTCGTGGCCTTTCGCTCTATTTGGCTTTGACTCCGGAACTTAACGAATCTTGTTGTTGATGCTGTCGACAACTGTCTTTCGTCTTTCTTCGCTGTCTGTTTGATAATAATCAACGCTGACGACGTTGCCATTTCATATGTTTGCCAACATGAGAGCGACCATCGCCGATATGCCCGTATTTATGCCTCGGCTGGGTGTGTTTATGTGCATCCTAGTATTGGAACATGTTTTTCCTTCCCACTCACATTTGTTCCTATTGTTAGACAGTAGTCCCGCCGCCAACTTTAAACCGGACTTAAAGAGCAGGCCAGGCGAAGACGAAGCCGCCCTGCCTGCGTGATTCTGGTCACGGCTGTCAGCTTGGATCATTTTTGGCGCGGGTTAAAACTAATTAAAATCGGGGGGGAAGCAGCTTCGGCTCAGATTTAATATGCAAACGAGTCGGGCGCCAGCAGCGGATGTCACTGCCGCCTTTTGGGCTTAATTTAAAAATGCTGAGACTTGAGCCGGTTGGAGGCACACTTCGAAATTGAAATTCTCATTACGCATCTCGGGATTTGTGTCATTGGTGTTTGCTCATACTCGGCAATCGATGCACACAGGCTTCAGTCCCGACGATCCCTCACACTTTGAGTCATGATTACAGCTCGCATATTAATCAACTGACCAAATCATGCAAGCTCCGTTTATGACTCGTCAATGTCCTCCTCCCAAAATTTGTTTTGCCCAACGTTTGTGTGTTAGTTAATTGCAGTTCCCCAATCTCCGATATGCCCTGCCCGGGAGTGTGTGCACAAGGATTCATTGGCAAACACAAATCGCCGCTTGACTGCTGAAAATTTCAATAAATGATTGCGTACTTTTGAGAGCTGCAATATTTGTCGGCATGTTTGGGTTTTATTTGTTTGCCGGTTGCCAGTTGCCGGCTGCCTGCCACTTTTCCCTTTGGACAGCGGCTTAAAGTTATTCCAGTTTCGAATTTATTGAACTCAGCTCCGTTCATGAGTGACTTATTGTAGTTGAAAATATTATTAGCATTTAATTGCAATATTGCCTCTCTGGTAGATTGACTTGACTGCTAAATATCAGAGAAGAAGAGTAAAATAATCATTATATTAGTAGACTTTTACCAATGGTACAGGTTTTGTATGTTTTTGTATATTTCAATCAAAATTATGAGGGATCTTTGGGACACAAATGTGTTTTGTTTTCAATTTTTTAAATAAATAAATTTATTTTATATTTTTTTTTATTTATTTTTAACTAGTTTTTTAGGTTTATTAACAAATTACTTAAATTTCCACTACTTGTCACTTCTATTTCTAACGTATTTACCAAAAAGTTGAACGATTTTCTGCAATGTATAAACAGTTCCCCGAAAATTAAATAGATTAGAATTTCACAATTTCGGATTTCTGGGCTTTATTTGCTTTAATAATTGTATGCACACTGAAAAAAGTTGAACATATATATAAAATGATTTATTGCTCCGTTTCCCAAAGTTCGCTCTTCGTGTGAAACCCAGCACGTGTTTTTTACATTTGTCTGTGCACATCCCTGGCTATTATAAAAGGCACAACAATGATGCTAACAACGGCAAACAGAAATCGGCTGGACAAATGGCACATACATATGTATGTACATATGTAGTTACTCAAACAGACAAAAATAATAGACAAACCAATCTCCGAAAACCCGGCGAAAAACATTTGGAAACATTGTGGTGATGCCGCGACAAGCCATCGGGAGTGGGGAAAGATTCGGGGGACCGGGAGACTGTTATATAATAAACACACGCGGCTTGGCTTTGTGGACTAACTAGACAGGGCGGCAGGCCGTCGGACAGACACATCATGGGTGAGCCTCGAATAGCAGCCAATGGCTCTGTCGCTGACACGGGAGCCCGAGGACTAGCCGCAGATTTCTGGCTTCTGGATGTTGTGTTGATGGCGCCGAGCCTGGCATTTTGCGCATTTGTTTTGGGAACTCGTGCGGGTGGGGGATGAGCTGGGAGCGGCTCCCCTTCCTGTGTGTGTGTGTGTGTGTGGGTTAATTAGGGTGGTGCAGGTTATCATGAAGTTTGTCGCAACAACAATTGAAATTGAACTAATTAATCGCTGAGTCGGACATTCGTGCCGCGCACAAGAGAGGTCTCTCCCCGCTGTTGGCACTAATATATCGCTGCGAAATTTGCTTATTCCAATTACAAGCCCACTCCCGGTTTATAGTGACGGCCCGGCGAACAGTGATTTCATCAGCCGCCGCGCCGTCAGTCCGTCAATGTCCCATTCCCGCCGAGCAATCAATCAATGCGGAACCGGCCAGTCGTTGCCCTCGTACCCCCAGCGAGCAACACGTGTTTCCCTCGACGGATTCCGGCCAGCAACCACGGAGCACGTGACGCCGGACCCCAAATCCCAGCAAAGCCCCTGACCTGGAATATGAGCATGGTACTGACTATGTGTGGCGGCGGCAACGGCTTCCGATTCACACTATGCGCAATTTCCCAGCTGGATTGCGTCACTCGAACTCGCGCTTTTTGCCGGCGAAGCGGTTTATTTTAAACCCAATTATAAGGCAAGCCCATCGGACTTAATGTATGGGGAATACATTTGACTTACATGAATGAATGAAAGCCCGCGCTGATAAGGCGAGCGGAGCGACAGAGGGGCGATATATGTTCCGACATGCGTCTCGCTTCCCGGTCGCCGTAAAATCTGAAAACATTGGACTCGGCACTCCAGACAGGGGTAAACAGCTCATTAATTCAGACCTCAGACTGCCAAGAAGCCCTGGTAAATAATATAATTGGATAAAGGCCAACTTATGCTTATAGCTTTTACTTTTAAGCTTAGCCGTAAACTAATTTAGAAATAATAGAGAATATATGTATAATCAAGGTTCAAAGTTATAATGCTTTTTATTAAATGAATATTTTTTGGTTTGGTTTTTTCTATTTATACTAATACTAAGGGATAAATGGACCGCTTGTTGCTGGATCACTATCATGCGTTGACCTATAAAAAATCACCATCTATGTTTAATTCATTGCCTTATGTACTATATGTTCCTGCGAATACAACAATTGTTCTTCATCAGCGAATCGCTTTAATTCTGGGATTCTGTCGCGAGGCAAAGGCAGACTGACAGACATCCATTCATCAGAGATGGCCCACGACTTGGATTTGACCCCTGCTTGTCACGCGGCTCACGTGCAGCGTTCCCGGCTGGTAGTTAACGGTCTATTAATGCGGTTGCCAGGTGAAAGCCCGGGCGCCAGCCACGCGCCTCCCACCCATGCGGCGTATGAGTAATACGCGCAACGACCTTCAACAAGTTGCCTAGTTGACGGGGCCCAACTTGACTCGGATTCGAATGCTGTGCTCTGTATTTGGTTTCTGTTTCTCTTTCTGTTTTGACACACACACACAGATGAGGAGCGACAGGAAGCGTACTAATTAGCAAATAAATAAAAACACGCTGGGAAATACGCACCGTGGGCAAACAGGGACACGTATACCTGTATCCCTGTATCTGTGCTCGACTCTTGCCGTGCCACGGAAGCTAGCAAATTTTTGTGTGTGTCGATGCAGGACGACTGAAAGGTTTTGCTGCTGCCTGCAGTTTCGCACGTCGTCTCGGCCGGGCTTGAGTCCTACAAGGACCCACCGGGTAGGGGCATCTTGTGGTCCGCACTCTGCGCCGATTTTTCGGTCGCTCACGTAGGGCACGTAATTGAAAATTAACTTGTCTGCCTTGTCGGCACTGACTGGGAGTCTGTCCGCCGCATACGAAAGCAGAAGGGAAGCGTTCTCAGTTTCTAAACATGGAAATTTATTCACAATACTTGGGGGTTTCTAATTAAAGCTATACACCAACTAAGAGAAGGGGTCTCCTTGCGCTACCAGAAGGGACACTGCTCCGCGGAGTTCATCCCCGTTCCGCTCTGGCACCCGAACACCTCGGCGAACTTCGGCACCTGGCTGAGGGCATAGTTGAGCCGCTGGCTGCCCGTGTCATGGTATATGTCGCCCTCGTCGCCGCAGAAAAAGTGCGCAAACTGCAGGAAGTAGAGGCGCCCGTCATCCGGATTGTCCATCCAGTCGCCTCCGTAGGTGTGCAGCGCCAGCCGGGATCCACTGACGTCCGCGGCGCGCTCGTTCAGCATCACGGCGCTGTCATTGAGGCATCTCACTGCGTCCGTATAGCGCGGCACCAGAACGAGCTGGTCGCTAAAGTTACTCATGTGACCCCACGCATCGTAGTCGACCAGGTCCGTGTCGAGGGCGTGCATCATCTCGTGGCCAAGGGTGTTGGCCAGGTCCCCGTAGAGCAGCGCCGGCCAGAAGTCGGCGTGGAAGAAGGGCAGCCGGACGTAGGAGTACGGCACAAATATGATGTCGCCCAGGCAGTAGAAGTACGGCGTGGCGTCTATGTTGTCGGGAAACTCGGGCTGGTGCATATTGAAACTGTACCAGATGGCGCGCTCCGTCTGGTTCTTGGTGCCCTCCAGATCAGAGACGACCGAGTAGTAGAAGAGCAGGCTGTTCAGGTGATTCTCGTAGAAGTCGTGGCCCACGATCCACCGGCGATCGACCTCCCAGTAGAACTGTTCGGACACATTGGGCGGCAAGTTGCCCACGTTGATGCGCATGAAGTGCACTTTGGCCTTCAACGACGACACCAGCTCCTGGCTTAGGTTCAATGGATTGTTGTCCAAGTTCAGCTCCAGCTGGCCTTGCAGCTGCTCGAACACTCGGTGGATGACGAGCTCATCGGCTCTTCGACGGTGGGCGTAGAATCTGTGCTCGTAGACGTAGTTCATCGGCAGGTAGAGGGAGCGGCGCATGTGGCGGATGCAGCGAAGAGACAGCGACTTACTACCCGGACTCCATTCGGCCAGCGGGTTGTGCGGCAGGCTCACGAGATGGCTAAGAAACCTCGCCAAGCTGTAGCGGTTGAGCAGCAGATTGTCGGCTTGATTGAGATACTCCACCAGGCGCTTGATGGCCGCCAGGTCGTCCACTTGGAAGGCTTGATTGCCTCCCACCGTTCTGTTCAGCTGCTTTCTTAAGATCCGGCCCCACTCCACACCGGGCACTTCCGCTTGAATCTCCTCCAGACTGCGATTGGTAAAGCTGTCGTCGGGTATCTTAGACCTCTCCAGGCTGGTTAAGTTTTGCTCCAAGAGTCTGAACTGTTCCCGGAGCTGCTCGTAAGGTGGCCAAGCTCCGTCGGACAGGCCGTGGCGACTCAGCGCATCGTAGATGTCGGGGGTGAGATTCAGACTGAGGTGGTGGTTGTGCGGCAACAGGAAGAGCATGTGGTGTGTGGCGTTGTGCCATCTAACCTCCAGTAGCACAAAATGGCCGTGGTAGCCGTACTGGCCCAGGACAGCCAGCAGCTCCGACCAGTGCGTAGTCTTCAGGGACTCGGGTAGCTTGTGGTCCAGCAGCTCCAGGTAGCGGGACAGGTGGGGCTTGTCCAGAGCAAGGCAATCCTGAAAGTGGGTTGCCAGCTTCCTGAACATGGGAAATTCGAAATAGCTGGAATTGTGCCGCAGCTCAGCGAAGAGCTCCGCGTAATTTTCGTTGATCTGGGCCTCGCTCATAGTGGTGGCAGTGGCATCGCTCCCGTGCTTTTCTCGCCACTTTCCGCAGGCATAGGCGTAGAAGTCGTCACAAGGCTGCTTCTCGTTGTCCACGTAGCTCAGTAGCCGCTCGATGTGTTGCTGGTTGACTCCCGGACTGCAGCTGTTGTGGTACGGACAACTACGGTTTAGATGTGTTGTGTACGGAGCACTGTAGACGTGGTTGGCACTGGCCAGGAATAGAAAGAGTGTCCACAGCCTTGAGGCCATTTTTCTAGAATTTATTATCTTCAGACTGGCTGATTTGGATTTATCACACTTCTGGTGGGAACTTTCAGCTGATTTCATATGCTGACTAAGGCGCGTTGGCGTTCCTTGATTTTGATTTGATGCTTTCTTTGCTGCATAGATGCAAACATGTCCGACGAGAAGGAAACGCTTCTGTTTTAATCAATTCAACACGACGGCGACTGATTCTTGGTTTATTTCGAGCGAATGTTGCGCGATTGCCGCTTGCTTAAATACAACTAAAAACTCGTTTCACGCGGTTTCGATTTTATGTAGATTCCGTATTCGCATTTTCACTCTCCCTGCTGCTGGCTATACGAAATACTTACCCACACAGGAGCGAGCTTCTTGCAGCTCGGCTCTTTTTTCGCTTGGTTAGCTTATCAGCGTTTTAAATACGTCTTTTCGTTTGGTGTGACGAGGTTAGATAAGCACACTGGAAAAAATTGGAGAAGACTCTGAAAATGGTCATTACTTGAAAACTTCTATGGGGAATTTGGTTAGAATTTTGTATGTCAATGCTAAAAATTATGTCTTAATGTATGTATCTGGATCGCTTAAATAGTTTAGTCTTCGAATTTAATATTGTATACCATTGGTTCCTAAGTTAATTATAAACTCTTCTTAAAATTTATTTAATAATAACAATCATTTACAAAATAATGTATAATAAATTAACTATAATCTGATACAAGCCTAAGATCACTAAGACCGGATGTGGCAATAATATTAATACTTTCCTTGGTAGTACAAAACAAATGCTTTTAAACATCTGTCAGTGTATGGTGGATGACACTCAACTCAATACTATTATTAATTGTATTAATTCGAATTTTAGTTATTAGTTAAGATCGCCGCTCTGAAGGCGCCTGATAAGAGCTTCGAATTAATAAATGACGCAATTGAAACTGCAATTCATGATTCCGATTAACCTTAAGCACGAGACAAGCTCTGCCTCGGAACCACCACCCAGTGCCCCGTCTATAATATATAGTATGTTCCCATTTATGTTCGTGTTCAGATAATGCTCTAACCATGCTTTTGCGATCTCTCGGTCTCCGGATGGGGGGCTTGTCAAAGGTGCTTTGGGTTCTTTAATCGAATACAATTGAATCGTTATTTTGTGTGCCTCTCTCTAGAGTCTAATTATATTTCTTATTTTTCTGAACCTGCGTTGTTTCCCCTAAGTATATTCCTTAGGTTAAATTTCACTTATATGTGAAATCTCGCTTAAGCTTCGCCGGAATAAACACAGAATATTTCATATTCATTGCGAATCTTTTTTGTGATTATACACATCAGCGGCTCCTAATCAGCGAAGTTCAATCCCTCGTTTAATATTAAATGAATGCGTTTTAATTAATTTGCAATTTGGCATAAAGAAGGAGACACTCTTTTATTTATCCATTAGCGGCACACTAAAAATGCCGCAATATTAATTAATTAATCGATTTAAAACACACGTTGCTTTAACTGGCGAAAATACCTTGCTATATAAATCAGGGAGACGTCCCGCGAATTTATGCAAATTTATTGAAAATGCTTTAAATGTGTTTATGCGTTGGCAACGCCAAAGAACGCGACCTGGGTGCCATGTGTATCAAAGAGAAAATCATGCGATAATTATTTATATTAAAAATTTCACTTTTTCGGCACATAACTCATTAAATGCCATATAGACAAAAGGCCGCGTCAGTTCGGCCAAAGCGGTATGCCGTATAAAGCGAAATATGCAATTTAATTTATTAATATATTAAAAGAGCGGCAAACGGCAAACGAAAATTAATCTGCGCATCCCGTGCCATCCCGCAGCCGGGGCCAAAGGGATTCGAGAAGAATGCGAGTCGTTAACGGGTCAATGGCAACACAACACTTCCGCAGCTTGGAGCCTCTGGTAGCTGGTCGTTGGTAGTTGGTAGCTGGAAGCTGGAAGTGGCGGCACAGCTCGCTTCACTGCATCGCCGCCAGAGATGGCGCCTCGTTGGAGCACCCAATTCATATTTCAAGCACGCTTCGCGGGGCGGTTCGACATCGCTTCTGGAGTCTTATCGATGCTATCAGAGCGAATTCTTTGCGTCACGCTGATCACGGTCAAGCGGATGAGGAATTTCTCATCCCGGAGGAAAGTTAATGTACGAAGTGGCCCTTGTTGAAATTTATGCATGACTCAAAAGTACAGAAATCCTTTTAATAGTATGTTCCGAATAATCCGTAATTAATTCGATTTTAATACATCCCCAAATGGGGATAATCTCATGAATTGTTTACCAGGTATCTCATTTTCGATGCCCAGCACTTAATCGCTGTTACTTCTCCCCATTTTCTTTGGCATTAAAAGTATATCTGCGGTTCGTTTCCACTCCACAGTATCCGCAGTCCACGGACTGCTCTTACTTTTAAAAGCCAGAGACAGAGGAAAAACTCTCGCACATCGCTCTTCAGTTTTTCAGTCCACTCTCAAGTTACTCGCACTCGAAGTAATTCAATTCAATTTCCGACGTCTCTGCGCCGCACAAACGACGATATTAAAGTTATTGAAAGCACAGGCCAAACAAATAAACGACGGAGTGTTGGGGAAAAATTGTGGGAAACCTTTTACTTTCTCGCCCATTGAGTCCCATTGAGTCCTACTTGGTGAATTTGTTGTCTAGACAAAGTCGCTGCCATGCATGAAAATATGCCACGTGGCTATTAGCAAATTGAAACAGTCTATTTAAAGGCCCGACTATGTCACTGATGATACAATAACGAGGCATTTCCTTTCACAGCAGTCATCTTGGCATGTGGGACCCCATCAGACCTCTTTTGGCACCTGAGCTCTCTCTCCCAATCTCTGTTCATTCGAATTTACTGCTTTCAAAGTGATTTGCATAAGGTGGTAAATGGCAAACAAAGTTCAGTTGGCATAACGTGCGACATCCTCCTCCAGGTTTGGCTTGAACCGTTCCCCTTCCCAAGTCACAAGATGCAGAAATTTCAGTGTGTGATTTTTATTGTGACTGCAACTCGCTTGGGTCTTGTTAGTATTCCCATTTTCGGGCGAGATTTTTACGCTTGGTATGCAATGATGCTGGGGTCTAGGCATTCCCAGTTGCCGCACACGAGGTGTTAATTGGAATTGGGATTTAATAGCCTTCTTGACAGCTGCCGTCCGTGCATCTTTATTTTCCTTTTCTGCTGAGGAGGAATAGATTCGCCCTGCATTTCACTTTAAGGCCATAAATAATTTGCAATTTCAGCAACTGATCAGGTCAACTGGGCTTGGACTTTCCTGGAAGGTTCGCGAAGGCAATTAAATTACTGTTACCGCGGGAAATCCATTAGGTTGGCAGCTGTGACAGTGGGGCTTACCTGATCGGTGATCAGCGGATCAACGCGAATCGGAGGTAGCGGGATAACCGTCATTTAATCCGCGCCTAGATTTCAACTTAGGGAAAAGGCATCTCTCTACCTGTTACCAGCGCTCGCTAGATGCTAGCTTTTACCTGCGATTACTATAAGAACTGTAGCTCGGCATCAGAAGGGCACAGTTACAAACTGCAACGTCTAACGTGAACATCAAATCCAAAAGCGAAAATCATTATGGTTCTGAGCAATTCTACACCAAACAACAAGCACAGCGAGATGATCGTGGACACGGCGGCCATGAATAGCGAGGATCTCAGCGAGCTGCTGCAGCTGAATGCGGAAATCGAGGAGCGTCGTCGATCCAGCCATTACGGAGACGCTGGCAATGCCTGCGGTCTACTCCGGGCCACCATGACCCGGGAGGAGCTATTCGAGATCTCCTCGCTAGATGACGACCGCTTTCTTACGGCCCTGGAGCATCAGAACTCGTATGTGACGCCTGGCCGTGTTCAGGTCACGGACCTGGACCTGTCCAGCATTGAGAATCTTATGAAGTATTTTGACGAGGAGGTGCCAGTCACACCCACCAAGAGCCTGGAGGCCTCCAAGATGGCCGCCTGCTCGGGAAAAGTGGCCAGCGCCATTGCCAAGCTCGGCATCCAGTCGGAACCGGTAACTCCACCCAAGCCGAAGCTGAGTGGCAAGCAGAAGATCAGCGAACTGAAGCAGAAGTACGAGCAGCAGCCTGAGATGCACACCCCACGTGGCGCCTCCAGGGCACCTGGAAAGACCACAGCAACGCTGCCCATGAAGGTAAAGGAAATGGCCCAGCTATTCAACTCGAAGATTAGCCAGGTGATGCGCCGTGCCGAAGAGCCACAGTACGTCCAGCTCCAGAACGAGTTGTCGCCGGAGGCAAAGCCCCAGCCCCAATCTCACCTCAAGACGGAGACCTCGAACAGTGGCCCCTGCCTGGTGGCCGAGGAGGTATTCCGCGAGCTAAGCGTGAAAGACAAGGCACTGTTGTTCAACAAATTCGTGGGCGACATGGCGGCCAAGCATCCCAAGTTTAATGCCCATGCCGCGGGTCTCAAGGCGAAGGTGAAGAAGCAGATGGCTCGTGGCGAGGTAGTGGCGGAGCAGCAGGCCAGTGTCAAGCACTTGGCGCAGGAACTGGAGGCCAAGTGCGTTCTAGAACAGGGTTCGCCACCGCGCCCCGGGGGACATTCGCCATCCAAACCGACTGAGAGCAAGCCGGAGACACCCATCTCCGAACTGCATGTGAGTACGCTTACGGTGATCCTGAAGCCGAGTCCGGAAGGCAGGGTGCCGCGTCCTCGCACCCGTCGTTGCCTGGAACCTAACAGCGACAGTCAAGTCCGAGAAACATCCCAGAAGCGGAATCTGGACGCCATTCGCAGATCTCTGCCCACAGAGGCCTATGCCCCACCGAAAAAGATCCGGCGCACCCGCCAGGAACGCAGCGGAAGCGAGAGCCAAATGTTTTTTCAAAACGAGCAACTGGAAACCCTGTTCTACAGCTGGCTCAGCACGGAGAACGGCGTGCAGTTCGATATCACTAGTGTGTCGAATAGCCTGCAGCCCATTGAGATAGCCACCGAGGAAGAGCAGCCGCTGCCTGAGACGAGCGCCGCTTCCATGGGCGATAGCACCCAGAAGACCGCCGTGGAGCAACTACTAGAGGAGGCCATAGCCAAATTGGAGCTAGAGCACAAGGCCAAGGAGGACGAAAATGTCGAGGAGAAGGAGGTGGACACGGCCCAGGCACAGATAGTCAAGACCACTCCGCGCCGGGTGAAGCGACAGGCTCCGCCAGTTCCTGCTCCCCGACCAAGCTTGAGTCAAACCCAGTCCAGTGCTTCCAGCTGCA